TTGGGTAGAGACAGGGTCTTACTGTGTTGCCCAGGCTGGTCTCGAACTCCTGACAACACCCAAGATAACTCTTTGGAGATGAGGGTCTCACTACATTACCCAGGCTGTTCTCAAACTCCTGACACACTAATTTTTTGGAGATGAGGGTCTTGTTACGTTGCTCAGGTTGGTGTTGGTCTCCTGGCCTCAAGCAATCCTTCTACCTCAGCCTCCTGACTGGTAGCTGGCATTACAGGTTTGAGCCTCCATGTCCAGCTAAAACCTACTCCTTTCGAACATTACAAATACTTACTTTTCATCTTTAATGTTAGTAAATGTTATATACATTCGTATCTTATAATTCATATTCTATTTAATATGATGAATAATAGGTTTAATTAATATATGAATAACAATTTAACTTTTTTGTTGACTCAGGGTTATTAATGAGTACATTTACTTTTATTCTTAATTCTTCTGGTTCTTCAGTTATTCTTACTCATGACAGGGCTACCTCTTTCTATTGCCATGCTAACAAATAATTATTTTAAGTTAAAGAAATTATAAAAGTAATACATATCCTTAAGCAAAATAAAAACAGAAGAAAATGTTGTATATTGAGAAGTAAAAGCTCCCTAGCCCTCCTAGTCCCATTATTGTTTCATTTATATGCTTATAGGAATTTTTTGTGCATGTGTTTTGTATTGCAACATTTAGGCAGTGCTCTAAGCCACCCTCAGGCTTAGTAACTCATAAGAAGGACTCACAGACCTCAGAATATCCATTAGACTCATGGTTATGGTTTATTACAGTAAAAGGATATGAACAGGATTATAATATAGGTAACCGTTCTGCAACGTACTACTTTCTATTTAATAATATATTTGTCATATCAAGGTTTGCACATATATATATATATATATTTCAGATTATTTTATTATTCCATAAGTTATTGAGGAACAGGTGGTATTTGGTTATATGAGGAAGTTCTTTAGTGGTGATTTATGAGATTCTGGTGCACTCATACCCGAGCAGTATACACTGCACCATTTATGTTGTCTTTTATCTCTTGCCCCTCCTCCCACTCTTTCCCCTAGATCCCCAAATTCCATTGTGTAATTCTTATGCCTTTGCATCCTCATAGCCTAGCTCCCACATATCAGTGAGAACATACAATGTTTGCTTTTCCCTTCCTGAGTTACTTTACTTCAAATAATAGTCTCTGGTCTCATCCAGATCATTGCAAATGCTGTTAATTCTTTCCTTTTTATGGTTGAGTTGTATTCTATCATATGTATATGCCACAGTGTCTTTATCCACTCATTGATTGATGGGCATTTGGGTTGTTTCCAGGATTTTGCAATTGTGAATTGTGCTGCTGTAAACATTCATGTGCAAGTATCTTTTACAAATAATGATTTCCTCTGGGTAGATACATAGTGGGATTGCTGGATCAAATGGTAGTTCTACTTTTAGCTCTTTAAGGAATCTTTAAGGAATCTCCACACTAGCGGCTGTACTAGTTTACATTCCCACCAGCAGTGTAAGAGTGTTCCCTGATTGCCACATCCACACCAACATCTACTGTTTTTTGATTATGGTAGTTCTTGCAGAAGTAAGGTGGTATCACATTTTAGTTTTGATTTGCATTTCCGTGATAATTAGCGATGTTGAGTATGTTTTCATATGTTTGTTGGCCATTTGTGTATCTTTTTTTTGAGAATTCTCTATTCGTGTCCTTAGCCTACTTTTTGATTGGATTGTTTGTTTTTTTCTTACCGATTTGTTTGAGTTCGTTGTAGATTCTGGATATTAGTCCTTTGTCAGATGTATAGATTGTGAAGATTTTCTCCCACCCGGTGGGTTGTCTGTTTACTCTGCTGACTGTTCCTCTTCTGCAGGTAAAACTCTTTAGTTTAATTAGGTCCCAGCTAATTATCTTTGTTTTTATTGTATTTGCTTTTGGGTTTTTGGTAATGAAATCCTTGCATAACCCAATGTCTAGAAGGATTTTTCCAATGTTACCTTCTACAATTTTTATAGTTTCAGATTTTAGGTTTAAGTCCTTAATCCATCTTAAGTTGATTTTTGTATAAGGTGAGAGATGAGGATGCAGTTTCCTTCTACATGTGGCTAGGCAATTATCCCAGCACCATTTGTTGAAAAGGGTGTCAGAGGGAAGGTCTAGGGCTGAAGGCTGCTGTTCTGATTTTTTTTTCCCACAGGGTGTTCCCTTGGTGTAGTACTTTCCCCCTTTTCCTGTGGATGTGGCTTCATGTGAGCTGAACTGCAGTGATTGTTGTCTCTCTTCTGGGTCTAGCCATCCAGCGACTCTATCCAGCTCTGGGCTGGTACTGGGGTTTGTCTGCAGTGTCCTGTGATGTGAATGGTCTGTGGGCCTCTCAGCTGTGGATACCAGAGCCTGTACTGGTGGAGGTGGGGGAGGATGCAATGGACTCCAAGGGGGTCCTTATCTTTGCTGGTTTAATGCTCTAATTTTGTGCTGGTTGGCCCCCTGCCAGGAGGTAGCACTTTGAATGTATCAGGGGCAGTAGTGTGGAGAGGGACCAGCGGTGGGCAGGGCCCTAGAGTATATGTCCTTTGTTTTCCTCTATCTGGGTTGGTAGGGAAGGACCATCAGGTGGGGGCGGAGCTAGGTGTGTCTGAGCTCAGACTCTCCTTGGGTGGGTCTTGCTCTGGTTACTGTGGGGGATGGGGTGAGATTCCCAGGTCACTGAAGTTGTGTACTTAGGAGGATTATGGTTGCCTTTGCTGAGTCATGCTGGTTGTCAGGGAAGGTGGGGGAAAGCCAGCAATCACAGGCCTCACCCAGCTCCCACGCAAACCTAAAGGCTGATCTCACTCTCACTGTGGCTCCTGCCGCAAAAGAAAAGGACTTTAGTCGTCCATCGGTCTGGGTCCCCCTCCGGAAGTCTGGAAGCGGGATTTGAGCGCTCCTGGAAGTTCTGGCCATGAGGCTTCTGTCGCCGTTCAAATTGTTACAAAGCAAAGCTAGGGAAGCCCTTCTCCCTGTGGAGTTTTACTCCCTGCCCCTCTGACCATCCCCCTGATGGATCCCTGTGGTGCCAAGCAAGTATGGGCTGCTTGGGGATCTAGCCAGATCCCAGTGCCTTTCCGCTACTTCCTCTACCCCTGTTTTTCCCTTGGCTAGGCTCTCTAACTTGACTCACCTCCTGATAAAGTCGGGAACTTCCCTTGCAAACAAACCTTCAGCTTCTCCAGTGGGGGCCTGTATGTATAATTAATTTTAACTCTGTGGCTTATTTCATTATCCCATAGTTTAAGTCCCGTTTACCAGATCCCCTTTGACAAGTTTTTAGGCTGTTTTCAATTTTCCTCCATAAAAAGCAGTGCTCAAGGAACATTCTTTTATGTATTTTGGGGTGCCTGTGGAAGAATATCTTTGGGACCAAGTCCTAGAAATTGAAATATGGGTCAAAGGGTGCACACATTTTGCATTTTGATAGTTATTGTAAAATTGACTTCCAAAATTTATGATACTAATTTAGACTCCCACAGAGTGTATGAGAGTACCCATTTCAACATGATGGATACCAAATATTAAGTGGTAAAATCATTTAAATCACTTGTGTAAAAGGCATTTCTTCTTGTAGAAAATGTTTTAGGATTCAAAGTAAGGCATACATAATTTTTAAATACAAAGCTAGGTAGGGATTTTAGTTTTACAAAATATTAGTAATTAATTTTTTAACTATTTGTGTAGCCCCAACTGAATACTGAATAACAGTTGTTATTATTTGATCTATCATACTGAAGTAGTTACTTTGAAGTCATGTAAAGGTTACATTTTCTCTAATGCTTACCATGTGGGGGATAGTTTGACAGCTGCTTTGTTGAAATCAGCAATTAAGAAATACGTGCCTACATGTTAACCAGCAAGCAAATTGTGTATGAATTATACTTTAGAAAAATATGTATCAGTTGGACGCAGTGGCTTATGCCTGTAATCCCAGCACTTTTGGAGGCCAAGACGGGCAGATTACTTGAGGTCAGGGGTTGGAGACCAGCCTGACCAACATGGTGAAACTTGTCTCTACTAAAAATACAAAAAAAGTAGCCAGGCATGGTCATGGGCACCTGTAATCCCAGTTACTCAATAGGCTGAGGCAATTACCTGAACTTGGGAGGTGGTAGCAGTGAGCCAAGATTGCACCACTTCACTCCAGCCTGGGTGACAGAGCGAGACTATCTCAAATAGGAAAAAAAAAAAGAAAAATATATATCTGTTATTTTAACAAATAAGCCTTTATTGTTTCTTCTAAAAGAGTCCACAAATGCTATGGAACATATTTGTTCAGGTACAAATGCATTCCGTAATAATAAAATATTGCTACTTTTTTATATTGCAATCTCAAAATATTTTCTGAGTTTAAGCTTTTAAGATCTTTTATAGCTTAGAAAGGTGTTCTCCCTACCCTCCATACCCATGTAACAACCAGTTTCACTTTCTTTTATCAGTTAAAATTTTTCCCCGACAATGAAAGTTAGCTATTTGGAATGAGTGGGATATATTATATTATCTATTACGCCGTATATCATTCTTAAAATACAGCTTTCGAAATTTGTCTTTTCATGTATATTTTTATTGCTGTTAGTCTTTGCTGATAGTTTAAGTTGATATACTAATGCTAAAACAGCTTTAGAGACTTTTCAATTTTTAAAGACATTTATGAAATACGCTCTGTTGGTTAGGGGGATCTTTTTCCCTCTTGTTGTTTTTATTTGTGCTTATTTTTCTATATTCAGGACCTTAAGCACTATTTATAGTGGTACTTCAATGCTCTATTGCTTGGATGTAATTAATAAAATTAGTGCTGTATTAACCAAATACAGAAGCAGATAAAATATGTTTATACTTACAGTGATGTCATTTTATCTTCTTACAAGATCAGGACTTTAAGGGGATTAACTTTATATACTTAAATGGATCACATTTTCAGTTTTACTATATTGTGTTTTTTTTCTATATATTTTGGTAGGCCCCGATTTTGTTGTTTGTGATGAAGGCCATATTCTAAAAAATGAAGCATCTGCTGTTTCTAAAGCTATGAATTCTATACGATCAAGGAGGAGGATTATTTTAACAGGAACACCACTTCAAAATAATCTAATTGAGTGTGAGTTAATATCTCTGATTATGCAGTAGAATATCGGTATTTCCTCAGATAATATTTTTGTAACTTTGCCATTTGCCTTTGTTCTACTTACTCTAGTATAGTCCTGGACCATGATCTACATAGTTTCGTCTTAGTCTACTGTGAAAGAATAACATACTTTTCAAATGAGATGCTTTATAAATACGAGTGGTAAAATACAATAAAGAGATATGCTGTTGTGAGTGTTCAAATGTAAATATGGAATTTGAATTATTGCAAGAGTATCAGAAGTCTTAATGATTGCTTTAAAAAGTACATAAGCATATGTGATTACTTGGGATAATTTTAAGGAGATGTTCCAGTTTGGGGTCATGTACTGTTAAGAAATCAAAATGAAATGGGAACCGTGAACATTTCAGTAAATTGAAGATGGGAGAAGGAGAGGTTTGCTGAATCCGTGACAGGACAGTTTGCTGAGGTTGTTGATGTGAACCTAGGGAAATGACTTGTGAATTTCCATCATTTTCCTGTGTCTGTGGTGACACTAAAGAAGGGAACATGAGATTATTCAGCAAGTAACAAACTGAAATTTCCTGTTATAATCTCTCACTTTTTTTCTTTTTCCCATTGTACTGGCTTTTTGTTATTTTTCTGTGTGTTACATTCCTTTAGTGTATTTATGGTAACTTTTTGCTACTTTATTATTTGTAATACTAGTTATTTCACTTTAGCATAACTTTATGTTTGTTTTTATCTGTTCCAGTTTCCCTCTTATCTGTTCTATTACCCTATTTATAGAAATACTGTTTCATATTGTGGTCCTATATAGTACGGGACAAATGATAGCTCTATTAATTTTTACAAAATATATTAGTAAGCACATTTTTTTTACTGTTTATGTAGCCCCAACTGAATACTGAATAACAGTTGTTATTATTTGATCTCTCAAATATTATTTGATTATTCTGTAAATGAATCAGTTAATGTAAATTAACTTGCATAGTAGCTTATTACCTCCTTTTACTGGTTTGACTTAGTATCTCATTTCTTCACAGGATATCCTCACTGACCATAAAATCATGGTTAGAGTAATGATCACTTGTTTTATACTTCATATCTCTTATAAAGAATGGGGAGTTTGAGTAAAATGTCCTTAGGTATTTTTAAAAATTCATGTCTAGTACTTAGGGATGATTATTACTTCAATTTTCTCTCGTTTTGGTAATTTGCTTGTAGATCAGACTTATAACCAGTGTTTATTCTATACTTAGCTTGATATTCTTTTCTTCGTAGCTCAATTCTGATGCTTCCATGGCATGTGTTTTTGACATGAGCATTTCATTGGGGAATTTTTCTGAGTCTTTTTAACCATTGTTAATGTTGTTAATGAATAATTGTCTTCTCTCTTAGATCATTGTATGGTTAACTTTATCAAGGAAAATTTACTTGGATCCATTAAGGAGTTCAGGAATAGATTTATAAATCCAATTCAAAATGGTCAGTGTGCAGATTCTACCATGGTAGATGTCAGAGTGATGAAAAAACGTGCTCACATTCTCTATGAGATGTTAGCTGGATGTGTTCAGGTACAAATATGTTCCAAAGTAATAAAATATTGTTACTTTTTTATATTGCAATCCCAAAATACTTTCTGAGCTTAAAGTTTAATAATTTTGTATTTTCTTTCCTGCTCTTTCAGTAGTTTTTCAGTTATATCTCCTTGCATCGTCTTCAAAAATTTATGCTGCATTCAACTTTTAAAAAAGAAGTTCGCTGAGAAGTTGAAAACATAGTTAATTCATTTGCCAAGTGTAAAGCCTCATATCTTATTATGTTAATGTTTAGATTTTTCATCCTTAAGATAGGGAGTTCCTTAAGAGGAACACAGCTATTATGATGAAGTTCCTATGCTCACCCTAATTCTATAGTATAGTATTATAGTCTCACTTTTTTGAAATGGTTGTAGGAAAGGCCAGTATGAATTAAGAAAAGAGCCATTTTTAAAGTAATCTTGGAGAAACAGTTTTGTTATTTCCAAATATATACAATAACCTGAACAGAATAGTGGTGTCATTTACATACAGATTTTCAGTGAATCTCTATTAATGAATGGGTAAGTATCTAGAGACTGAGCCGGCAGTTAATAGATCTCGAGATATGCATGTTCTCTGCAGACATTAGGCACTAATGATAGCCTCAAAGATGTTTTAACAAATGAGACAGTGCATTTTTTTTGTTGGATATACAGTTTGCCCTCCATATCTGTGGGTTCCACATCCATGGATTCAATCTACCACGGTTCAAAAATAATTTTTAAAAAAAGATATAATGGATAGAGGCTAGGTACAGTGGTACACACCTGTAATTCCAGCACTTTAGGGAGGCAAAGGTGGGAGGACCACTTGAGCCCAGGAGTTCAAGGATGCAGTGAGCTAAGATCATGCAACTCTAGGCTGGATGACGGAGTAAGACCGTCTCTACAAAAAAACGTTTTTAGCCAGGCATGGTGGTAGACACCTATAGTTTCAGTTACTTGGGAGGCTGAGGCAGGAAGATTGTTTGAGCCCAAGAATTCAAGATTGAAATAAGCCGAGATCATGCAATTGCACTTCAACCTCGATGATAGAATAAGACCCTTTCTCTTAAAAAAAAGAAGGAAAAAGTTAAGAAAAAAGTGGATGATTTTGTCTGTACTGAACATGTACAGACTTTTTCCTTGTCATTATTTTCTAAACAATAAAGTGTAACAGCTATTTACCTAGTATTTGTATTGTGTCAGGCATTTTAAATAATATAGGAATTATTTAAGGTGTATAGAAGGATATGTATAGGTTATGTGCAAAACCCTACATTATTTATATAAGGGACTTGAGCTTCCATGGATTTTGGTATCTGTGGAGGTGGGGGTGGGTTCTGGAACCAGTCTCCTATAGATACTGAGGGATGACTATACTTGCCATCATTATAAAGCATAGTTATCCTGTTTGGTCAGGTTGGCTACATGTACTAGCAAGTACTCTGTTTCCATATTGCTGCTACTACCCAGGCAGCATTTTTCCTTCTGGTTGAAGTAGTCATTTATATTTAGCACATTGGTGTTTTATTTTTCTATCCTTATAATAAAATGGTTTCAAGAGTGCTTGTACATGACTTGCTTTTCTTAATTGGGCAAATATTCCCTCTAAAATTATATGTTATTGTTCGACATATTAGCATATCTTATTCAGAAGCCAACTCAAGAGTGCATTAGACTTTGATTCCTAGGTTTTACTATATGATTAAAGCAAGTCATTTTGCTAAGACTACCTACTACATCACCCCCTTTTGTTATTTTATTTTATTTTTTTTCTGTACAGAGGAGACCATTTTGAAAACTTAAATTGCTCATTTGGTAATGTTACTACTTCAGTTTAAAACCTGCCTGGTGTGTTGTAGGATCTTTTTACCAATGTACCATATTGTATAGTCATGTGAAATACATTGTGTGAATAATTGTGGGTTTAGAAAGGGTAAATATATTTAAGAAAATGTTTTCTTGTATGTTTGGTGCCTATTTATTTATGTGTGTATTTCATTTATAAGCAATGAGAATTTGTAGAACAGTTCATTCCTGTTAAATATTTAGATTAATTTTCATTCTCTTTCTTGTTAATTACAGAGGAAAGATTACACAGCATTAACAAAATTCTTGCCTCCAAAACACGAGTATGTGTTAGCTGTGAGAATGACTCCTATTCAGTGCAAGCTCTATCAGTACTACTTAGATCACTTAACAGGTAACCAGTACACCTTGTTGATTTTATTTTCTCTATAAAGATATTCTTTTTCCAAAGAAGGTTATTCTAGTAATTTTACTATATCTGCTGTTCTTTTACAATTTTGCATTTGAATAAAATGGGTATGCTTGAAAGCACAAAATATTTCTAATTAAAAAAACACCGATGCTGTCAAAATAGAATTAAGAAGCAAACTGATGAAAAACATATATAGCATATATGAGTAATGCCCTTAATTTGTAAAGAGCTTTTATTTCAGAATAATTACGAATGTGAATAAATCCGTATAAGAAGATCTACAAAATTCCAGAGTATTTTTTGAAAAATTTTCACCCACATTAATAATAAAAGGCATGTAAGTTAAATTCATGAGTTTGTTTCTCAGTTATTTAATTAACAAAGGTTGTTGGCAAAAAAAGGTAAAATAGATGGCAAGGCATATAGTGTACTCTCCATGTTATTATAAAAATGCACATAAATGCCTAGAATATACCAAAATGCTAATGGAAGTTGTTTTTTGGGTGCTTTTGTTATGAAGACCTTCTAGTTTATTTCTTGCATTTTTCTATGCTTTCAGAAAATCCAACGAATAGGTATTGTTTTACCATCAATAAGAGAGTGTGTGTGTGTGTGTGTGTGTGTGTGTGTGTCTGTGTGTGTGTGCGCGCGCGCGCGCGCACCTCTGTGCCTCAAAATGTTCGTCTTCACACAACAAAACCTAATCTTTGGTCTGGAGTGAGATTTCTTGCTTGTTGGTCACTTACTGTGGTACCTTTCCCCAAATGATATTACAGATTTAATTAGGAGATACAGGTTAGAGGGTGCTCTTTGGCCCATTGTGAATACAGTAATTCATCAAAAAAATAAAGGAGGATGAAAGTGTGTACACACATATTAAAATGATACTTCACTTTAAAGTGGTACTCTTTTTGTAACAGCAGGGCATCCTAGAGAGTAGAATGATGATGGTCCTCAAGAAACATTCTGCTGGGGAAACCAGTATTCGAATCTTAGTGTTTTATGGAACTGCTTTTTTGGTTTTATAAAAACAATTTTTGTATTGAGGAAGAAAATCAGTTCCAATAAAGCACACATTTTCATTTGTATATCTGTCAGGAGCTGGTAGATATTACTATACTATTCTTTTATGAATAGTAAAAATTACAGGCATAATTAAATAACCAAATACAGTTATCCCAATGAGACAGTTGTTGTGTAGTTTAAAAGAGGGATGTTCAGATCTGTCTTTCCTTAATCTCTGAGTGCTAAGGAGTAGTAAATTTGGCCATTTAATATTTTTTTCTTTTAAAATGTTTCATATTAGGGAAAATGCTCACAATGGTGTTCTAGGTTTTATAGAATTAGTTGTCTTTAATAACCAATCATAAGCTGGGCGCAGTGGTTCATGCCCATAATCACAGCACTTTGGGAGGCTGAGGTGAGAGGATCACTTGAACTCAGGGAGTTCGGGACCAGTCTGGGCAGCATAGTGAAACCTCATCTCCACTAAAAAATTAACCAGGTGTGGTAGTACATACCTGTAGTCCTAGCTACTTGGGAGGCTGAGGCGGGAGGTTTGCTTGAGCCTGAGAGGTCAAGGCTGCAGTGAGCCATGATTTTGTCACCGCACTTCAGCCTGGGCAACAGAGCACTACCCAGTCTCAACAGTAATAATAACAACAGCAACAACAATTAGTCACAAATGTTAACAGCTCAGGTATAGATGTTAAGCTCTACTCTTCTGAGTTGACCTCATGGAGGTAGTTAATAGAATGATAGATACCAGAGTCTGGGAAGTGTGTGTGTTGAGGGAGGGATAGAGAGAGGTTAGTTAATAGTTACAGACATGTAGTTAGATAGAAGGAATAAGTTCTGTTTGATAGCAGAATAGGGTGATTATAGTTAACAACAGTGCATTGTATATTTCAAAATAGCTAGAAGAGAGGACTCAAAATGTTCCCAACATATAAAAATGGTAAATACCCAACATGATGGATATCCTGAATACCCTGACTTGATCATTGTACATTCTATGCATGTAACAAAATATAACATGTACCCTCAAAATATGTATGAATATTATGTATCAATATTTAAAAATTTAAAAACCTTTTTTTGAGAGCAGTGCAGTTATTTAAGAATTTAGAGGGCTTTGCTTTATTCTTTGTGACTATCATTGATAGGAGTAAATATTTAAAGCACTAACTGCCATAGCTAAAATCGAAAAGATATGATTGTTAAATTACTATCTGGTGCCATGAATCTTTCAGTTTTAGGGTGTGGGGTTTTCCCCTAACCAAATGCAATATTACCTGTAGAGTAGAATGCTGAGTTAAATAGCCCCTTTGAAAAACATTCATAAAAGGCCAAATGGGATATATTAATGGCTACTCTGTCTTGACCCTCACTACAGATCTTCACAGTATTTCTCTTGAAATGTCAGCTGTCTATCCTACTTGCATTTAAAATGTTTGGTATCTGTTAAATATTCCAGAATTTTTTTGTTTCTAATTAGGCTTTTTTAGACTGTGCTTGCTTTTAAGACGTTTACACAAATTTTGCTTTTAACATTAGCAGGAGTTTCATGTTAGTTTTATTAGTGATAATTTATAATATGTTTAATATTTGCAGATTGAAAGTCCTAAGGGACTGGCGTTTAATGACTATTGAGGAAACCTAAAATCCTCTTAATTTTTCTTAGTTTTCTTTTTTCAGTGTAATTCTGTGGTTTGCCTTTTATTGTCAGGTGTCAGAAGTTTATAATAACATGTAAGCCTCTGCAAGTACACTTAAGGTTTTATAAGCATGTGGATACTTAATTTTTTAATAACTAAATATTAATTTGGTTTTAAACTTAAAATCCACACACTGTCTTATTTTGACAACTGTGCAAAAAATAGAACACGGGAAAAGATAGCCCATAGAATGTGAGAAAATATTGCAAAACATATATCTGATAAGGGATTCATATGCAGAATGTAGTTGTCCCTTGGTACATGTGGGGCATTGGTTCTAGGCTCTCCATGAGTATACCAAAATTTGCTAATACACAAATCCAGCAGAGCCTGCATAGATGAAAAGCCAAACATGGGTTTTACATTCTGTGACTACTATATTTTCAATCAACATTTGGTTGAAACAAAATCTCTGTATAAGTGGACCCATGTGGTTTAAACCTTTGGTGCACAAGGGTCAACTTATGCAAAGAACTCCTACAACTCAACAACAAGGAACAATCTGTTTCAAAAATAAGCAAAAGATTTGAATAGACATTTCTCTAAAGAAGATAATACAAATGGCCATTAAGCACATGAAAAATGCTCAACATGTAACTACTCCTTAAAGGAATGCAAATCAAAACTACAGTGAGATACCATTTGGTACCCATTATGCTGGCCATTATTTAAAAAAAAAGGAAAATAAGTGCTTGCGAGGAGGTGGAGAAAGTGGAACTCTGTGCCTTGCTAGTAGGAATGTCAGATGGTATGGCTACTATGGAAAAACATTTTGGTAGTAACTCAGAAAGTTAAACATAGAATTACCATTTGATCTAATAGTTACACTTATAGGTATACAAAAAAAAAAAAAATTAAAAGCAGGAACTCAAACAGATACTTGGACACTTATGTTTATAGCTTCATCATTCATAATGATGAAAAAGGTGGAAGCAACCCAATTGTCCATTGATGGATGAATGGATAAACAAAATGTGGTATGGACATACTTCAGTGAAATATTACTGAGCCTTATAAAGGAGGGAAATTCTGACACTTGATACCACATAGATGAAATGTGAAGACATTAATGCTAAGTGAAAGAAACCAGACACAAAAGGACAAATACTGTATAATTCTGTTTAAAGGTACCTAGGGTAGTCAAACTCTATGAGCAGAAAGTAGAATGGTGGTTAGGAGATGGTGGGGGGTGAAGGGAATGGGAAGTTACTGTTAATGGGTACAAAGTTTCTGTTTGGAATGATGAAAAAGTTCTAGAAATAGAGAGTGATGATGTTTGTACAACATTGTGATTATATGTAATGCTACTGAATTGTGTACTTAAAAAGTGGTTAAAGTGGTAAATTTTTTATTTTATTTTTATGTTAAGTTCTGGGATACGTGTGCAGAATGTGCAGCTTTGTTACATAGGTATACACGTGCCATGGTGGTTTGCTTCACCTATCAAGCCGTCATCTAGGTTTCAAGTCCTGCATGCATTAGGTATTTGTCCTAGTAATCTCCCTCCCCTTGACCTCCACTCCCCGACAGGCCCCAGTGTGTGATGTTCCCTGTGTCTATGTGTTCTTATTTAAAACAGTAAAATTTTTAATGTATATTTTGCCAGAATTTAAAAAGTACCCTCAAATGGAGCACAGTAATATGCTTTTGTCTCTAAAAATGTCTCTAAAAATGAACCCAAGTGCCACTCTTTAGAGATTGATTCAAAAGGTCTGGAGTGGGGCCCATGCATCTACATTTTTATGAGCCCTACAAGTGATTTTGACGGACCATCAGCTTAAGAACCATTGCTCTAAATTTGTTACTTTGGTAAGGGGTGAGCTGAAACCTGAGATGAGTGTTACCTAGACAAGGGGAACATGGGGAAATGACAATGAAATGTTAACTTTGGTGGTTTTCTCTAAGTGGTGGAAATATTAATTCTTTTGTATTTTACTTGTTATATCTATTTCTACAAAATTACAAAATACAAGAAATATACATATATGTAGAACTTCCATAATCAGAAACATACTTTAAAGTTTCATTTTGTTTTTAATTGACACATAGTAATTGTATATATTAATGGACATAGAGTGATATTTTGATACATGTATACATTCTGTAATAAAATTAGAAGCATATCTGTCACTTCAAACACTTGTCATTTCTTTGTGGTGAGAACATTCAAAATTCTTCTATTTTTTAAAATTTTATTTCTTTAATTAAATATTTATTTTTTAAATTTTATTAATAGAGACAGGGTCTTGCAATGTTGCCCAGGCT